GTTGACTCTCCAAAGATGGTCACAGAGCCTGGGTTCCCTCCAAAGTTGGCGATGTTGTCCTGCACCCAGCGCAGCGCGGCCACCTGGTCCAAGTGACCCCAGTTCCCCCGGCTGTGTTCGTCCCCTGTGCTGTAAGAGAACAGGTTGAGGAGGGCAGCACAGACGCCATGGCAGGGCTGTCAGGACGAGAGACGGGGCTGGGGCTCTCGGTGAGCCTTCCGGAATAGTCTGGGCTTCCACACCCCTAACGCAGGGGTCTTCCCCTGCCTTCCGTTCCCCAGCATGTGCTGCTGTAGGGTTCTACATTCACTCGTCCGGACAGGATTTACTGAGCTTCTACTCCATGTGGAGTCTCAAGGAAGGTGATAGCTCAGTGACTCGCCCAGGATGACCCACTGGTAGGCGCAGCAGTGCCCAACGCTGTCCTAGGAGCTAGAGCACAACTGAGAACAGAACAGGGAAATCTCTGACTACAGTAAGCTCTCAGTACAGTCCACAAACAAATAAACAGATAAATATAGAATAAAATATCAGGGAATGAAAGTGCGTTGAGGGAAAATAAAATGGGGTGAGGGAAAAGGCAGGGGTGGGGCGGTGGGTGCTACTTCAGATCACGTGACTAGGGAAGGCCTCTCGGACGCTGTGGCATTTGAGTAGAAGCCTGAATGAAACGAACACGTGAGCCTTGCCAATATCCAAAGAAGACAATTCCAGGCAGAAGAAACAGCAAGTGCAAAGGCCCTGGGGCCCAGTGAGCACTGTGTGCACATAGGAGGTGCAGCTGGAAAGGGCCCTGTGGGCCTGGGGAAGCACGTTGCGTGTCATCCCAGGTCACGTGGGAAGCCCTGCAGGTTTGTGCAGAGGAATCACATGACTCAACCTATGCCTGATCTGATCTCTCTGGCTGCTGTGTGCGTCAGCCGCAGCACAAAAGTCGCAGGGTGACCAAGTGAGTGGCTGTGGCAATAATCCAGGCCAGAGCCAGACAGGCTGATTAGGGTGAAGCAAGGGAGGGCGAGAAACAGCAGGACTCTGAGTACATGTCATGGTGGAGCAGGAGGATCCGCTGCCGCCTGCGTGCGGGCTGTGGGGCAGAGAGAAGAGTCCAGGCTGCCCTCGCGGCTTTACCCCGGGCAACTGGGAGGACGGAGCCTCTGGCAGCTGAGCGGGGGGCGCTGGGAGAAGCAGGGGCGCCTCTGCCTGGGGAGGGCGTGGGAGTCCTGGCTCGGTGATTCCATGTGAAGAGTGAGGGGCCTCAGACAGCCCATGGGGACAGAGGAGGTAGCTAGCGAAGGTGTCTGGGATT